TTTCATGGAGATGCAATTCCACATGGACGTAATATGTAGGTAAGCATGATGGTACCCTATAAAAGTTTAAAGATGGAAATGATAATATCCTACACTATCTCAGAGACCGAGACAGGAAGGGAATCTTTAAGGACGAAGGTGATAATAAGCATAGTGTTGTACCCCAAAATTTTCCCTCTCATGTTTCCCAAAAGTTTCCCCCTGCATGGTTGATCACAAACTCTTGCCTAAGGAAAAGGAAATTTTTTGAGTGGTGCTTCAAGTACATTTCGATTGGAATTCTGAAAGACTCTTCGATTGGTGTTCTGAAGGAGCCTTTCGATTGGCATTCTGTCAAGCTCTTTCGATTGGCATTCTGGACAAGCACTTCGATTTGCATTCTAAAAGACTCTTCGATTGGTGCTCTGAAGGAGCCTTTCGATTGGCATTCTGTCAAGCTCTTTCGATTGGAATTCTGGACAAGCACTTCGATTTGCATTCTGAAAGACTCTTCGATTGGTGTTCTGAAGGAGCCTTTCGATTGGCATTCTGGACTAGCCTTTTGATTGGCATTATGGACAAGTACTTCGATTGGCATTATAACAGTGTCCTTCGATTGGAATTCCAAAAAGGTCTATTCGAAGAAGCATTCAAAGGGTCCATTTGAAGAAACTTTGGAAAGCATTCGAAGGAGGCCATCAGCCTATTCGAAAGGGAGCATTCGAAGGAGGTCATCAGTCCATTCAAAAGGGAGCATTCGAAGGCCAGTTACATGTCATTCAAAATTCAAAAAGGGACAGGATCCCATGTGTTTAGCCAACGTTACAAACTCTCATTCATGGTTTTCAAACACATAATTAACGTTACAAATCCTTATTCATGGCTATCAAACACATAATCAAGGTCATTTAAACCTTTGATTTTCCTGTCCCCTCCACCCCCTCTATATAAAGAGATCACAAATGTTGCAAGCACACACGGAAAATATACAGAAAAATAGAGAACTTGGAGATACGCTGCCAAAAGTCATCAGCACTTCCAGGAAGCCATACCCAATCCTTGCACCAGCAAAAGCTGCCACCCAGCGGACACCTCCACCCTCAGAACTACAGATCGAAACACCTCTGTTGGTAAAAAAGGATATAATATCAAACTCATTTTTAAATTCATTTTGATTGCATATTCATATTATCACTGCTGTTTGTGAGTGATTTAATGTGCTACATATAAGCTACAACGCAGAGATGAGATTGTGCCATTGCTTGGGCACAATCTGAGTTTCTCCTTCGAATCCCAGGATAAAATAAACCCAGACCCAGATTCAGCAGGTGCGAATAAAGGGGGAGATTCGAACCAGGGGGTAAAATCCCCCCTGGACCTTTAACATATGTTTCGTTTCTTGCAGGAAATACATTCTCAGATTCCTGTTCAGAGTTTCGAAGCTCAGCAGTTTAGCTTCAAACTGGACCCAGGATTTCCAGATCGAAGGACGACATATCCAGATCGAACACCCTCAGAGTGCATCCCCTCATGCACCTTCGATCAAGACTCTTCACTGGGTCGAAAGACAGCCTGCACCTCTTTCGACCCAGACCTTCAGAATTATATTTTTTTCTTGTTTTGCTGCCTGGCCCATTTGTACTTTATTTACTTTGTTTTTGTTTATTTCTTTTAGTGTGTTTTTTTTAATCAACATAAAAATCATAAAAATAAATAACTTAGAATTAGGATTTAATTCAGTTAATTATTTTAACTTATTTTCTTCAATTTTAAAATCAGTAGACTTAGGATTTATTTGAATTCAATACTTTTCATAAACAAAAAATGCAAAAAATATTAGGAATATCTTAGAGTTAATTTTAATCATTTTTTTTAATTAAATTTGATTTAATTGAACATTTAGCATTTTCCCAAAAAAATAAAATAAAACAACAAAAAGTTCTTATTCTTAGATTCACGCGCGTTTATTTTATTGTAACTGCTTACTGGGATGTAATAGTTTAAACTAAGACCTTTTTTTTACTGCTTTTATTTCCCTAATTTTTGGACATGTAAATAATCCCCCTCCCTGAAGCCTTGTAATAGCGTAGGATTTACAATTTCCGCACTTTAAATTCCTATACATATATTAACTGTTTAGATGTATGCTAACTAGGCTATGCATGACAAGATTAAACTCCTAACTTAAAATCAACCGTAGCTCACCATGACATGCAAAGATAATATAACTAAAAATTGACACACTTGCACATGCCACTCCTAGGGTACACCTGACTTGGTTGCCTCAATTGTGGTCATTAAGTATAGGATGTTTTAGAGGTCGTCCTTTTGTCCCATGATCATAAGTTGCCTCGAAATGGTTGCCTTGATAAAAATGATCTAAGACATTAGGATTACCACTAAAGCATCCTAACGTTGCTTTAGTGACCACACGTCCCTAAAATAGAATTGACCCGAAAAACTCCAACGACGGTGCTACCTACTCCTCAATAGTGGGATAGCACTGTCTAAAGGATAGTTGCACAATTTAATTCCTTTTTGAGTAGGTAGATGTTCTTAAGTACTTGCTCTCTTTTAAACAAAACAAAACTTTTCACACTTACACTTTCTTCAAAAAACGAAACTCTTTTCAAAACCCGCAATCACAAAGAAAAGCAAACTTTTGAAAACATAGTGAGCAAGTACCTAAGAGCCCATGGATAACCACGGATAGAAAGGGTGCTAACACCTTCCCTTTCTATAATCTACCTCCCGAACCCGAGAAACAATCTCGAAAAGGAATTTTTCTGTGCTTTTGTCCTTTCCTTGTTGGATAAAATAAAAGACGGTGGCGACTCTTGCTTACCGCGACACTTTGAGAAAACAAACGCAAACGCGAACCAGCATTAAAAAACAGTCAGTTCTCATTCCCACCGATCACACATAGATTTGATGATGTCCTAAATTATCTCAGAGATTGAGACAAGCAGGATTTTTTTGATGATTATGGCCTAATCAAAGACGACGAGGAGTCCCTATAGGACATGGATGATGATAAAGACGGAAGCCCTACGAGCTAGAGATAGTAGTGAATAAAGGGATAACCCCTACGAGTTTGCAGATTGTAGTGGGATTTATGAAAGGTATCCTTATAAGGTAGGTTCTTAGTATTGGACTACGGATATTCTACCATCCCCCATAAGGTGGCTTCCTTAAGGATATCATGAGTGACACTAGAGGGAAAGGCACAAGGGCCTCCCTTAAGTGGAGTCTCTTTACTGACCAAAACTTTAGTCTCTAGGTCATGAAAGGTCTCATCACGAGACTTTGGTTTAAAGGTCGTACAAAGAGTCATAGGTATCATTGCAAAGTCCTACATCCCAAGAGGATGTCTCTCAAGAGGTATTCTTTTTATGGAATTCCACCGACTCTAGGCGAAGTCGTCACATAAACTCATAGGGTTGATGTAACCCCTTGGCTAATAGACGAATCTTCTTTTTAATGGTTTTGAGAATAATATTGCAAAAATTTTAAATCCCACCACAAATATATAAATAATATGAATAATAAAGAATAGGAAAGAAAATACGTAAATAATTAAATAAGAAAAAATAAAACCCAAAAGAAATAAGAAAAACACTAAAAACCCTAAAGTCGAAAGATAAGGCTTCTAAACCTAGGGTTGAGTCCCCAGCAGAGTCACCGACTATTGCAACTAGTTTTTAAATCAGAATCGCCACCCTTAATTTTTATCCTAAAGGAAGGGAGTATAAAGGAATAACCCTAAAAAGTCCAAAGATTCTAGGGCTGACTCGGTTCTAGATGAAGGAAAGGTGTTAGGCACCCCTCATCTACCTTGTTCACAAGGATACTAGGTTTAGAAGAACATTTTAAGAAAATAGGGTTTTAAGTTTTATTAGGGGAGAAAGGGTTTTAATATTTTTTAGGGTAACTCACCACGATTTTGATCGTATGCCTACGTATCCTCTTAGGAGGAATCAGAGTCCCAATTCGTAGTTCGTATTGTTTGGTTGGTGTTTTTTTATAATATTACATAGAATTGCTTTCGTATTTACTTTGAACCTTGTCTGGATTGTAAGTTGAATGATTGTAGACGCAGTTCGTAGTTTGATTCGAAGACAGTGCTATTTAATCTTTTTTTGAAAAAAATGATCTTGGATTTTGATTATGTCAGTAAAAAATAAAATTTGATATTGGTTAGCTGTTTTAAAATGTAGAGCGAGGGGAGTCTGATATAGTCTCCTCATCACGTGGTCAGATATTGACTCTGTGCTGCTCGTTATGAAGGATACAGAGAGAGTCTGACATATACTTCCTCATCATGTGGCTAGATATTGACCATGTGTCTCGCAGATGAAATATTTGGAATTACGTGAGTTTTAATATTTTTGTAAAATATTGAATTAATTTAATTTTAAATACGAAATAAGTTAAAGCATACATAACCAATCAAATCTAAGTATTCCTAATTAACTTAGATAAAATAAGAGTACCTTTTTTATATCCTTGCTAATTAATTAAATAAATATGGATAAGCCAAATCAAATAAATTATTAATTTAGTAATTTACATAATATAAAAACAAATAGGAATAATAACAAAATAGAAATTAAAAAAAATAAAACAAAACAAAAACAAAAATCTAACCCGGCTAATTATGGGAGGCATCCTATTTTATGTCTCTTATCCCACCTCTCTCTATTTGAAAAGATAAACATGGTTAATAATAATAATTGATAATAATAATAATAAAACAAATGATTGTCCAACTTTTTCATTTACTGATATACGTTCTCCCCTTTTAAAGCAACTTACAATGCTATTAACCCACAATATTTCGACATGTGGATTGGTTTTCTAGAAAGAAAAATAAAATAAAATAATAACAAAAGAAATATGATATCAAGTGAAATAATCCAAGGGAAAAACTTAGAACTACCTTATCTCTCTTCCTTTGTTTGTCTACTTCTTTCCATTCCATTTATTTTTCCTATTTTTCTCCCATCCACTCAGTCATCAAACTAACACATCCGTGAATAAAAATCAACAAATAATGCAAGAAGACAAACTCGAGAGTGGCGATAAATTTGAGAAGTGGCATATGATTTAAATTTGGAGCGGCTTGATATAGATTTTCCTGTGATTGCGGTACCGATTCGTGGAGGTTCCATAGGTGGTTCACTAGAAGCTCGCGATGGTGATAGAGGTGATGGACAGTGGTCCTGTCGCGCGTGCAGCCGGGTCGGAGTGGATCCGAGTTCTGATCTGGGAGGTTGTAAATGGTGTTCTATGGCGATGTCTATGTTTCTTACAACGTTGATGGTTTCCATTTTCGTCTTCCTGCAAAAACAAATTCAAACGGTAAAAAAAAGGTGACGTGTTTTGGAGGAGAGACCGACAGATTCAGTGCTTCACGACGGCTTGTAAACTTTTCAGCACAATTGTGATTTCCTTCTCCTCCTTTCTTTTCTACCTTGAAAACAAGGTTCGGCAATTCATAAATTGAGAAAGAAAACTTGGAATCTGTTGTTGTTTTTCTTCTCCTTCTACCTTCTCTGCAAAAAAAAAAATACAATAACACAACCAATTCTAATTTTTTACTAGTTAGTAAGAAAGAGAGATAAGAGTAGGTGTATCACAATTATTTTAATCTTAGGTTATTGTGTGAATAAGGTGGCTCATTTATCTCTTCTTTGACGAAACACTAAGAGTTTTGGTTTTATAGCTCCAAGGATTAGGTTCCTTTAGGAAATAAATTAATTGTTGTTTATTGTTTAGCATATTTTAGGAAGTATTTTAATGAGATTGTTATTCAGGGATAAAAATTGCTTTGATTGCAATTTGATTATGTGTAATAGTGTTGATTTTGTATTGATTGTTTACGATTCGATTTTTACTAGTGTTAATATATTGATCTTGTTATGTATGCAAACACCAGAAAAGAAGGATTTGTTTTTAACGATACTAGTTAAAGGTGTGCATTATTCTCTCTCCAATTCGCACAATAACTGTTTGTTTGGTTATAGGCCATACAAAATCATTTGTTTTGGACTGATTGAATTTGGGTTGACTTTGGGCTGGGCGAAATGGGCTTGAATGGTTCATTTTTAACCAAATGTTTTTTCTCTTAAATAAAACAAATTATTTAACTAAACAGAAACTGAAATGGGCCTAAGGGTTTTTTGTTTGAACTGTGCCTGTTTTATTTTGGTCTTCAAACAAAACATTTTGATCTGGATTTGGGTTTTGAAAGAAGAAGACCTTTTATCAGCACCTCTTTTTGAATCAATAAAACATAAATCAATTTCTTAATTAAATTTATTAAGTTAATGTTTTTTAAAAAAAACTAGTATAATCATTAATAATTATTATAATAAAATAATATTAAATATAATGATAATAATAATGTTACTAACAAAACATTTTTTCAAAATAAATTCAAAAACTGAATTGGACCATTGTATTAGTCTATTTGGGGCCTTTTAACCCAAAACGAAATTCTCTTACTTGCAGCTGGCTTGGAACCTAGAAGACCAGATTCATGCAATAGATCAAGGAAATATTTGTGTTGAGATAATGAAATCCCTATTTTTGATTGAGCAACTTCTACGCCAAGGAAGTATTTTCGCATTCCCAAGTCTTTGATGTTGAAATTCTCATCAAGAGAAATTTTGATTCGATTGAACTCATGCATATAATTGCTAGCTAGTATAATGTTATCAACATAAAGTAGAACTGTTGTAAAATACTTGTCAGTTTTCAAAGTAAATAGGGAATAATCAGAAGCAGATTGAGTGTAACCTTGTTGAATCAGCATGGCTGACAACTTTTCATACTATTTTAAATTGGCTTGCTTTAAACCATAGATGCAACATAATCAAAATTAGTTAACAGTCATTAATTTCAATGTTTGTATCTCTCTGATACAACATGTATATTTTAACAACACAAACACTAAATTATACTTCAATTATACATTTCGGTATATCATAATAATAGTGAGTAAAACAGTTTACCTTGACATGTCAGATGATATTGATATGTGAGAATGAACAAACTTACAGTCCTTTTCTCTTTTATTTGGCTCTACGACAGCACATTGATTATCCTCCTTAGTAGGTTAATTGGCTTCAACTTCACCTTTACTTCTCTCATCACCTTGTCCCAGCATATTCCCTTTGTCTGGATCTACAACAACGCGTTGAGTATCCTCCTAAGCGTGTCTGTTGGTTTCAACTTCATCTTTACTTCCCTTATCACCTGATCTCATCAATTTTCCTTTGTCTGGATCTACAACAACATGTTGAGTATTGTAACTCCCCATTTAAATACTTAGTCATTGTTTGTTGAATTTGAATTGCTTTGGCATTTTATGGTGAAACTTAGTTTTGAGGGAAATGCCGATGATAATGGAATTGAGGGATAATACTATTGTTATTAATATTATAGTTATTATTAAGATTATTAATATGGTTATTAATATTATTATCAATATTATTATTATTAGTTAAGTGTTAGTAATAATAAAATACAATAGAATAGGGTTAGACCAATTGGGAGAAAAACTATTGTCACGTAGAAACAAAGAAGAGAAGAGAGAACTAAAGAAAAGGAAAATTCTCCACTTTTGAAGCATCAAAGTTGCAAATTAAGGTAAGGGGGTGAATAGGTTCTCTAAACTGGTGATAGTAACATGAGAGGGTAGTGAGGGTTCGTTTTCCCTCTTTAGGTTTTTCATGAATGAATTGATGAATGTCTTCTTGGTTTGAATTATGTGATTCCCTGTGATTTTCGTATGAAAATCGTGATCCAATATATACAATGAACATGTTATTGCTGATGGTTTTTACTATTGTTGTGTTGTTCATAAAAATCCTAAATCTGAAAAATTGTAGATCTAGGTGTGATACAGTGGGAAGAACTGACTGTTTTTTGGAATGCTGGTTTGCGTTTTGTGTTTGTTTTTGCAAAATGTCGCGGTAAGCAAGAGTCTCCACCGACATTTATTTTATCTAACAAGGAAAGGAAAAAAGAACAAAAAAAAATTCATGTTTTCGAGATATTTCTGAGTATAGGGGTAGATTATAGAAAGGGAAGGTATTAGCACCCTTTCTATCCTTAGTTATCTACAGGCTCTTAGGTACTTGCTCATTGTTTTCAAAATTGTTTTCTTTGTGTTTGTGGGTTTTGAAAAAGTTTTTCTTTTAACTTCGATTTAACTCTTGCTTCTATCCTCAAGAGTGTAATGAAGTGTTTTGAAAACTTGTTTGTAAAAGTTTAAGTGTGAAAAATTTTGTTTTAGATGAGCAAGTATCTAAGAACTAATCTACCTACTCGAAAAAAGGAATCGTTCTATGCTAATTTCCTTTAGACAATGCTATCCCACTATTAGTGAGTACGTAGCACCGTCGTTGGAGTTTGGGGGTCAATTCGAATGAGGGACATACAGTCACTAAAGCAATGTTAGGATGCCTTAGTGGTAACCCTAATGTCTTAGATCATTTGTTTGAGGCAACAATATCCGAGGCAACCATTTTGAGGCAACTATGATCTTTTAGACAAGAGGACGACCTCTAAAACGACCTATACTCAATGACCGTGTACGATGGCAACCAAGTGGGGTGCACCCTAGGAGTGCGCATGTGCGAGTGTGTTGATTTCAGTTATTTTTATCTTTTCACATGTTAAGGGTGATCTAATTGTTTTTTAAATTAGGCATTCATTCTTTTCATGCAAGCCATATTATCAAACATCTAATAGTTATATAATTTGCATAAATAAAATGCGGAATTTAAACTAAATTATTACAAGGCGTCGGGTATTTACATCACCAAAAACAATCCTTTGAAAATGAAATAAAGCGGTAAAAAGTAAATGTCCTAATTAATTATTACAAACCGGAAGCAGATACATCAATTGGATAAATAAATATAAAGCGCGACACGAAATTAAATCAGATGCGAAATTAGGGTTTGGACCCTCTTAAAAGAAAATGTTTTTTGTTATTTTTATTTTAAGAAAATAAATTAAGTCCTAAATTAAATACTAAATTGATTATTAAATAAATTAATTAATAATAAATAATTAATGACATATTTTTGGAGTTTTTGATAATTTAGGAAAGAAAATGAAATAATTAAAATTAGTAGTTAAAACCTAATTAATTCTAATTGATTTTATTTATTTACAAAAATAAATTAAGGTTACCTAGTTAACATCCTAATTAATTAATTAGTATTTATTAATAAAAAATAAAATTCTGAATTTAATTGGACAAAAATGTTTTTTTGTGATTTTTTGATAAAAAAAAAGAAATTAATGTTATTGGTTAGTAAATTAATTAAACAAAATAAAATAAATAAGTTAAATAAATAAAAATATAAGAAGAAGTAGAGATGGGCCTGATATATGAATGTGTAGAAAGCAGATTGTTGGCCCATTAAGGCTGATCCATTGGACTTTTTGTGATCTTGTGCACATTCGTTGACCTGGTCCATGGTATGCTTGCAATATTGGCCACCAGATATGGCCATCTGGCATGTTGATGGGTGAGGGAGTATGATGGTCATCACGCTGGCATGTGCACTGCATTTCCTGCAAGAAAACAATATTGAGAAAATGGGGGACCTGGGATTCGAACCCAGGTCCTGAAGGGATATCCACGCCACGCTTGCCACTACACCGCTTGTCTTCAATTGTTAATATAATGCAAATAAATTATAATATAAGAAAATAAGTTTTATTGGGTAAATATAAAAAATAACGCGCCATATTTGAATGGACTAATGGTTGCATGACACGCATCGTCCATGTCCTCTGCACCGTGGCTAAAAGTACCAACATCTATACCTACGGACAAATGTCCATTGCTATAGACAGGGGTTCCTCCCAAATCTCCTACAGGCCATGAAAATGGTTTCTAAGACCATGGTTGAACTCGTCATCTCCTTCTGATTGCAACCATGCCCATTATTAGGGCCAATTTTTCCTTAAACAAAAATCCCTAAAACCAAACGCAAAACCCTAGCAATGGTGATCCATGATACATAACATATAAATGAAATTGGTTATTACAAAAAGCTTGCAAATGATGTATAGATTAAGAATATGCAATTATTTCATGTTAATAATGCCTAATTTCCAAAATACGAAATCAAGAACAGGGTTGCTTCGTGAACAACTTACAGCGCTTGGAAGGGTCTGGAAACGCGTGATTTGATCGGTTTAGGTTGTGGAAGCTGCCAGGAAACGATTGAGACAAGTCTCAAGTCTTGAAATTTCCTCTAGACTTGATTTTAATCTCACACTTTTTTGGTGTTTTTGCAAACTTTGTTGTTGCTCTCCAATTGATCTCCAACCTTTGTTTTGGTCTGCACACGACCCTTATGTAATGCACATTGTATTAGGGTTCAAACTTCTGTCCAAATCTTCCTCCTTGAATCACTATGATATTTGATTTGATTTTCCATTAAAGCTTTCCAAAATTGGCTCATTTGCAATCTTTTTGTACCCACATGGCTTGATACGAATTGGGAATGGTTTGTTAGCTGTGATTAAAGTCTGAAGCAGTAAAAAAATCCATTGGTATCAAAAAATCCATTGGTATCAAAAAATCCATTGGTATCAAAAAAGTCCAACTTCAACAATGCATAACTTCCCCAATTTTGAATATTTAGAGGTGTTCTTGGACTTTTTAGAAATCTTGAGATGTCCTCTAACCAACCCTTTTGGTCTCATCTCATTTTTATATTCCATTCTCAAGTTAGAAGCTTTGACAAAAAAGGTGTTTTTGTTGACTTTCAAAAATGACCTATAATGTCCAAATTCACAACTTCTTGTGAGTGAATATTTTGATCTTGGGAGCTGAAGATGGATTGTAGGGAATCTCATACTATTCAATATGAGCTTTGGATGGGTCATTTCTCATAAAGTATGAGAAAGTTATGCTTGGTCAAAGTTTAGTTGACTTTTCCTATAAAACCCTAATTTAGCAACTTT